ACATGAATTTTTCTACTTAATATTTGTGGCTCTATTTCTTGAATAACGATATTGATAAGCATATGATGGAAAAACACTTTACAAGACAATTTTTTTTTTCAAAAACGTAAATTATAATAAAACTCAATGCATGTGAATATGTTCTTCATTGTTTCTTACATCAACTGTAATTGATAAGATATTTTGTCCATCATTTTTGCATGTGTTTCTTTGAAAAATTTTCCCAATTCTTTTGCAATTTCTGTTTCTAACTGTAACGGTTTGTTAAACACTTTTCCGTGAATATTTTTTCAGGATTTTCTGTCATTTTGCCAAATGTGAGTTTCGCCAATTATACTTTTTCACTGTTGTGCTTCCATATATCTTAACTGATTTAATTTGATCGCTTAGCATATCAAGTACTATAGTTGAGTTACAACTCAATTTATTCAAAATGGCGAATTTCTTCATGAAATTCGCCAATTGGCGAAACTACAATTCCCCTTTTTTCAGTGCATTCTACATGTTTTCAACTCTCTTCATACATCATCAGATCGAGCATCACTACCTATTGGTTCTATATGTTTATAAATATATTGTGTTACCAACTTTGCAGCAAATACTTCATGTTGCTTTGAGCCGTTTTAAATTCAATACAGACCATTTAAAATCCTTTCTATATTGGTAACTTATGAACATTTAAGATAAAACATGATATAAATGCATTTCTTTATAGTTAAACAACGCTTAGTCACTCTGTCGCAATTGAATAAGTAATAATAAAAATATTACAAAAATCAAGTAGAAAAATTCATATATTTCAATTTTGTCTATGCATTTTTGAGCACCAGTTTTTGCTAGAGATCTGACACTTTGGACAATTAACGATCTTTGCAAGATATATATGTGATAAAAATTTCAGCCTTTTAGGCTAAGAAAAAGTGTGAAAAAATGTCATGGACACATTATCCTCAGTTATTATGAAACACTCTGTACATAGAAGTATATAAATTTACTCAATATTAATTAATTTAAGAAAAACAGGAAAATTTTCAAACCGTTTAAGTGGTAAATCTAATAAATTTAGACAACTAGTTGAACATCAATTTGAATCTGTGTCTGAATTTTTAAGTAATGTTCGAATAAGTGAAGACTAAAATAAAAATTTTACATTACGAAAATCACTCTAGCTAACTGGTAAAGTACATGGATTTTATTATTTCCATGATGATGAATACTATTCGATAATGTTGAAATCGATGATAATGAAGACATTGAATCAATAAAATAAGATTGTGAACTATGATTACTAATACTCATTTCAAAAAAGAAAAAGAATAAGTATTTTCTGAATAACTTTAGATAGAAACTAGATAGAGAGGTTCGATTTTCACCGTTTAGAAGAGGAGATGAAACCGCACGAGTCGTCTGTACCAAATGTTTTTTAATAAGATTTCTCAGAGTCTAGTATCAAGTTTGTTAAACACGAAAGATTGTTTAAATGTAAAACTTTTACGATCTTAATTTTCAAGGGTGCACTAGAGTTGTTAACTGAAGATCTATAAATTCTGTAAGTCCGACGTTGTAAGTCTTAGCCAACCACGAGTTATATACATTTTACTGTGTGTTATTTGGAGATTTTTCATAAGAAAATTGACTTTTTTTCTCATTTTTTAACGAAAAACCCACCTTATAAACTTATTCAAAAGCCTAGGTTTTTTGAAAAAATTGGCGAGAGACTCTAAGAAAACTTGTCAGAAAAATCTGGTATAGACTGTTCGATGTAGTTTCATTTCCTCTTTTAAACAGTGAAAACTGAAGTTCTGTATCTAGTTTCTATCAAAAGTTATTCAAAAAATACTCAACCTTTTTCTTTTTTGAAATGAGTATTAGTAATTATATTTTCATTAATAACACGAAATACAAGTTGATATGTCTGACCTTCAATCGAAGAAAGTACTCCGAATTGTTCAGTTTCTTTAATAAAAAAAAAAAAATTTATTTACATAAAAATAGAGATTGTATCAATGCAGCTCGTTCAGGACTAAAATATAAAATGCATGAGAAATTAAATTTTACTCGTTTTTGCTTTTAAAATTACTATAATGTTCATATTTTTTCATCATTGAGTCTCTTTATTTCTTTCGGACGAGTTTCCTTCATCATCCCCGGAAAGGGTGTGAATATCGATTTTAGTCTAGAGAAAACTATTCCAGTGTTGAATCTTATCACATCTAAAAAGTTCTTCAATATTCATTTTTTTTATTTATACGATTAAAATTATAGAATATTTAACTATAACCTTTAATTGCAGCTGCGGCAACTGCTTTTCTCTTAGATCCCGGTAGAGCTCGTTGGGTACAGGTCTGATCTCTCATCGTTGCTATTCTTAAGGTAAAAGTCTATAATGACCACATTCCTAAACGATCACCATCAAGATACCTTGAGAAATGTGAAATAAATTTCAATGAAATATGATCAATATGAATCCGACAAATTTTCGAATTTTCGTCTGACATATCTCTAAAACTTACATTCATTCTATTTTTTTTTTGAAAAGAAAAACGTAATGTGAGTTCCACAAAAAATAAAAACAGTCAATAATTTTACCATTAATTGTTAATGATAATAGATTAATATCAAATAAACTTTTAATATCGCTCAATTGAATAAGTTCAATATGTTTGTATGTTTTCATACCGAGTGTTTTTCACATATATTCAAGACAATCGGAGAAAAGGAACATTTAAATGTGTTCGTGTTGGTGTTAATTCTTGTGAAAGTTCAATAACTTGAAATTTTTCTATATAATGACGATGTTTAGCAAGGAACTCTGACCAAAAATTTAACAAGAACAATAAAATGTACTTAATACTGTCGGAATCGCTTTCTTACTCGACAACTATCAATACTATTAATCCAATGAATCAATTAATAATTGATAATCAATATATGCTGTTGATGTATGTTTAAGTAAACGTTGAATAGGTCGTATTATGAAATGCAGCTAAATGTTATTTACCCAAATCAGTTTTATGTTCAGGAATCTATTTGAAATTTTTTTTTTAATATCAAATACGAATAAATTATATGAAAATACAAAACAAAATTTATCGATTGTGTCTTTATGTTCATTACACCTTACACTTATGCTAAGATTTTGATTTTTTAATTACCGATCATCGATAAAACAAAAACTTTCAAAGATGGCAGCAACATTCGATCTAGTCATTCTTGGTATTGAAACTCATTTTCATTATCTCGTCACTCCTAGTCTCGTTTTTTTTTCAAAAAGAAATCGGAACTGCGTATCGAAGTATCGAACAAAAAGAAATAATCATGTACAAATATGAAGCTTTCTAATAACATTTGAACGAAAATCGTACGACTCTTCGATCTTTTGATCATCGCGACACAAAATAGCGAATTGAGTGGAAGACCAAGAAAGTATAAAAAATTAAATATATAGAATGAAGATTCATATAGAATTTTGGGCTGTCAAATGAGCTTTTTTTTAGCCTTGTCTGTTGAATATCACCCCAAAACCTTCATGCGATGTGAATGTATCTGACCCAAAATCAATTCTTGAGAATGGGGATCTGAAGGGTACCTCACTTTTGTGATCTAAAATTTTTGTGGTCATTGTATAGTCTGGTGCTTGAAAAGAAATTTCAACTCGATCGAACATATCATCTTGGAGAAACAAGGAGGCGAAAATGGTGCCATTGTGATCTCAGTATCTTATAGAAGATAGCATCGATTCTATGACAGGGTTTTGCTCTAAAAATTTCAAATTTTTCTGATAAGCCATTCTTCAGCAACACCACAAAGGTGGGGGAGGATATCCTTAAGGTCATGACATACATGCATCTTGTTGTTCATGATTTTCGTAATCTAGTATTTTCAATATTGAATATAAATTATATACGTTGGACCTTTGATGGTGTTCGAAATATTGTACAATCTGATTGTTCTTTTGACACTCAATTTTTCTTGGAAACAATAGAACAAGAAAAATTTTCAAAATAATTTTCTTATAAAAAATTGATCATACTCAAATATCCTATATCATTGATGAATAACTATATGATATAATGTTATTGGATGTAAATAATTTGAAAAAATAAAGGATATTATTGATTCAGAGTATTTTTTTTTCTTATCATCGTATTATTCAAATGATCAAAAATATCTACATTATTTTGTTTGTATGATGATTCATTAGTATGATCACTAATGACGAATAATAAAGTACGATTAATTTGCAAATGAAATTTTGATGCTCGATTTTTTCTTTTTCGTTTTTTCTTCTAATAGATTGATGAAAAATAAAAAAAACAAAACAAAAAGCATTTATTATATACAATTATGTGGTGTCTATATATATATATATGTATATGGGCAATATTGTCAATATTGCATATGCTTGCAAATACATTGAAAAGTTATGCTTGAATAACCTCCTTAATGTGTTTGTAGAACGTTGGAATAAACCTCAACATATAAAATATGTCATAAATATTACATTTGTCACATGACTTTGTTAGACAAGTTCTATCAAAAATTACAAAAAAAAAAGTTTTATCCTCTATACCAATATGGTTAACCTATCATTATTATTACAGAAACAATACAAGTCATTAGCATAGTTAGGATTTTTGTCACACTTATTGTTTTATTTGATCGGTTTACTTAACATAAAACAAATGTGGTAGAAACTAAGATAAATATTTGATTATACATTCTTACTCATTCGTTTTTTTATAAAGGTATTTATATATAATGTATACTGTTTTCTTCATGTGTCGTTTTTCGTCAACGTATATCGATAAAACAATCTGCACATTCTAATATTTTTTTTTCTTTTACTCTCTCTGTCTCTTCCTCTATCTTTCACGTTGTGATGATGATCAGCCGTCGACTACAAACAACATATATTACAGGTTGTTATAAGTATTTGTCGCCAATTCGTTACCACGTCAATGTCGGACTGTGTGAGCGAATAAAAAAACGACAAATCAATGACGAACGCGACAACAACAACCTCTACAACCAATGCTACAGCTATGGGTAATGGAAATAAAAAAGCACATGCGAATTCGTTATCGGCTGACGACTTACACAAATATTCTACAAAACCAACTACTAGAGATGTATCAAAATGGTCATCACTTGAAGTCCAACATTGGATCAGACACCAATGTAAAAAATTCGAATTAAATAAGGCTATAACTGAACAGTTCGAACTGAATGGTAAATGAAATATAATTAAAATGATTTGATTAGTATTAACTGTTTTTTGTTGTTGTTATTATTGTATTTATCATTAGGTCAAGCTCTAATGTTACTTAGCAAACATGATTTTATTAGACGTGCACCAAATGGAGGAGAAGTACTCTACTATGCATTACAACGACTCATTAGTTAGTATTTAAATTCATTTTAACATTTCAATTTTTATGTTTTAAATATAATTCTATTTTAGATCCAAATAAAGAAACAAATTCAGCTGGTAATAATGCCAGTACATTACGAGCTGAATTATCCGATCAACAATCTCGGATAGTGGAAGTTAACAATGATCAGGACACAGTCTATGATACAGCAGATTCATCATCAACAAGGCCTATTGTCGAAGAACCTGATGATCCACCATTACTTCGAAAATCACAATCAGCTACAAATCATGATGCTGACCAACATGACCATAATAATCATCGATACTTTTATAGTCAAGGAAATTTTCGTCCAACTGTTTTTGCCATGCCTGCCGGTGCAGCTGCCGCTTATTTTCAACAACAACAACAGCAGCGATTTCCAAATGGTTTTATGTATGCACATCCTCCTCCACATTACCATGTGCATCCTCCACCAATTATTCATCCACATCTATTACCACAATATTATCCAATGATGTCTGCTCAAGGAATTCTAGTCGAAATAATGGATGATGCAGAGCCTGATGCTTTCATTCCAAATGGACCAATGAATGGTGGTGCTTCAGATCCGGGACTCTTTATGGTTACAATTAGTGGACAACGATATATCATGAACGAAGCACAAGTCATGCAATTGGTTGGTGAAGTTTATCAACAACAAGGTTATCAAGGAAATCAACAACAACAATTTCAACAGCAACAACAACAACAACAACAGTTCCGACAGCATCAACAACATATGCGACAACAGCAACAACAACGAGGTTATCCACAGCAATATCAATTTTAGCAACAGTAACAATAACATACTTCCTACGAATAGTCATGTCAAGACAATGTCTATTATATTTTATTATGTTATATGTAGGCTTTCTTTTTTATAGCAAACAAATTCTAATAATTAAAAATATGCAAATTTAAAAAAAAACGAAAATAGAATAATTTTCATGCAAGCCTTTTTTAGAGTACACTTTTTTTTCTTTTTTTTTTTGTTACAAACAAATCATCGGATGGATGACACTATTTTCGATCCCAATGATCTACTTAAACAGTGAGTTAACTAGCACATTCTTCTCTATGTATTTCTTTATTTTTTGTTTACTGTTGTACTACATAAAAGTATTCTGTTTCAAAATATCCAAGCGTTCAACTAATATAAAAATAAATTTAATTTTGAAACAAACTTCATATTACAACAAATATTTGCTTTTCATTTTTATAAGATTTTTTTTTTCGTAAACTAACATTACACATGAATTATATTTATCCATTGTTGATATACAATCAAAAATCGTATATGAACTATTTCCTTATTTTATTTCGGAGGCATTAAGTAAAAGGATTGTGAACGAATGTGTCCAAAAATAGATATTATAAAACAATTCCCATATGATTAGCAACAACAGCTATGTCGTGTTTCACATTTTAATCCCGTAGGGATTGCACTAACAGGTTTTTTTTTATCTATATACAATTCTTCTCAATGATATATCGTCGACAAAGGTCCATTTAATAATCAACTAAAAATTGAAATGATTCTTCAATAATATTGATTGATTCATTCGGTTCTAAATAAATAGAAAGTTTTTTTATGTTTTCAGAAATTTCATTCTCTTACAAATTTATTTGAGCTATGTTATTTATTTATTTTTTTCATATACAATAAATTGCACTAGATGGATTTCATTAGAAATTAAAGATGTCAAACCGAATGAAATAAATAATAAAGTTAATAGTGCATAAGCAAGAGATACTCTTCTCATTCTATTAACGGTTTTTTTCAAAATTTTAATATATATATTGGTTAAGAATTATATGCGCTTTGATATTAATTTCAATGATATATATAATAGTAAAAATCGATTGAGCGGATTAGACCCGAGATTTTTTTTCCAGTTTTAAATCTATTCAAATAATAATACTCTCTTAATAATCATATATTTTACCATCATTTGTATGCATCTGAAATTAGAAGAGCGTACATAAAACTCATTTGCAACGAGATAAACACACTTTCTACTGTCAATTTTTACTATTAATAATATTTTTCTCATAATAGTAAATATGCTTTAAAAAGCACATTGTAAAAACAATACTCAATACTTCAATCAACTATATTATAAAACTCTTGACAAAAGTATGAGAACAAAAATAAGATGAAGGACATCAATAAGCTTAATAAATTTCATAAAAAGGATTAAGTCTATTAAAATGAGAAATGTCATTTCATTATTTATATTCATATATTCAGCTGAATCAATTCAATATAATGTGATCTTTTTTGTTTTTCGAGAAAAATTTAAATAATGAATTTTTCTTGTCTAGGATTGATACAGTATCTCGTTCTCAACGTACACTCTTTGCTGAATTTGAACGTCAACGTAGTCGTCTTAATCAACTTTTTCATTGTTATGATAATCAACAATCAGCTCGTGATTCCGAATTACGTCGTCAATCTGAACAAATTAATAAAGAAACACGACAAAAAATACATCATCGATCACATACAATTATGACAGAACGTGCTCGTTTAACACATATTCTTGATGATGACATGAACAATTCATTTTCATCAGATAATTTACATAATATTTTTCGTTTTAAAACTCATTCGAACGATAGAAAACGAAAAGTTTATGGATGTTTATTACCACAATTGAAAGCACCATTGAAAAAAAATTGTAATAGTAATTGGACACAAATAATATCAAATTCAAATTCAAGACAATCAAATTTTCCAAAAAATATTGAAAGTCGACGAAATTCAATTAATAAATTTATTGAATCAAATCTAGAACAACGAAATAAAATGAATGATATTATTGATAAATTTTTATATGAATTAGAAGAATATCATGGTGATGGTTATGATCATTTTCTTCAAACAAGTGAACCAAATCGAAATGCACAAATACTTGCACAACAAAATATTAAACATAAGAATCGAAAACAAATCAATTGAAACAACAATAAAAGAAAATAAACGACAAAATATTTTTTTTTGTAAACACATATAAATATAAATTACATCAATATTTATTATTATCGACACCAAACTATAAGACAGGTTAATATTTTCTAAATAACTTCCGGTAGAAAAAAAAAGAAACTCATCTCATACGATCTATACAAAGCTTACGTGTCGAACTTGTTCTGTTTACGAGTTTCAGCAACCATTAACCTGCTATATATTTTGTTGTTGATAATAATACTTTTTTTTTGTTTTTTTATTTTCTAAAGTTCTAATTTGCACAATTATGTTACGTGTATTTTGAACGATTGAACAATTTGAAGTTGATTTTTTTTTTCTTTATTTCAATAATTAAATAATAGATTTTTATCTTATTTTTAATTAATTTGATGAACCATAAGCCATATTATCATGTTGATGAAACGAAGCTGTTTGACTTTCTTCAAGTTCATCAGCTTTTTTCTTATTCAATAATAAAATTGTTGCAATAAATGACATAAAACTAATAAGAAGAAAAAAAATTGATGTTGGAATGATTGATTTATAACTGTCTGTCATGTCAACGAATAAACCTAAAAATAAAATATATTCTTTTAGATCTTTTTTTTCTCCATTCCCAATTGACACTTAAAAAAAAAACATTCATACCTCCAACTACAGGACCTACGAGTGTTCCAAGACTTGTAACAATAACATGATATATATAACCTTGTTCTGTTCTATCCTCTTCAAAGATTCGATTTGAAACTGTATATTGAAGTGCTGTAACAACAGCCGGTGTAAAACCGAATACTATAAATATAGATATATATATATATATATATTCAGTAAATTCTATATCAAATATTCTAAAATTCATTTACATATAATTGGTAAAATTGCTATTACACTGAAACTAGTATAGAGTAGACCAAATGCTAATATTAAAACGATAATGCCAGTAAAAACACTTGCTGGAAATAAATAAATAATATCAATAGGATAACAACGAAGAATAAGTGGTATTATAAGGCGAAAGAATGCATCGAATAGACCAAGTAAACGAAACCAAAGATCAGCACGTGCAGGTGATATAAGTAGATGTTCCAAATGACTATGCTAAAAAAGAGAAGAGAAATTTTATTTTATAATTAAATATATCTTCTAATTATTAAACTAAATTTCAAAAATGAAATATATCTATATTTTTATTCAGTAGAGAAAACTCACATAGATTGTTTTTACAATAGCGTGTGAATTAATATTGCAAGACAGATAATTAATAAAATTGCTTGCATTCTTTTTTTTTCTCTTTCTCTATGATTTTTCTCAAAGATTTTCTTTTTTTTTTTTTTTTTTTTTTTTTGTCTAAATTAAAACATACCAAATGAAGAAGAAAATTATTTATAGCACACATAGCTGAAAATATGCCTAACATCCAATAAATAACCAGTTTTGAATAATAAATTTTTCGTTTTGTATCTGGAATAAATGCTGTCGATGGATATGGATATGGTTGTGATGTACTTGGTAAAAATTTTGTAGTAAAAAATGGACTAAGTAGACATGTAGCTATTAATTGTATTATTGCAATATGTCGTTTCATTAAATGCCAACCATTTTCTTCAATTGCAGAAAATATCAATGCATCCATTATATGATAACCTATTGGAAATCCCATTGAAATAATACACATAACAAGTATATGTTTTGGATGTTGTCCAGCTGGATAATAAAGGCCACAAAGTAATGTACCAAGAATAAAAATAGCTGTATTACCAAAACCATATGGAAGTGAATAAGTGAATAAAAGCCAATGAAGATTTCGAATAGTTGATGAAATAAATAAAGAAATAGTACAAATAAAAAGTGATAAACTAAATGTTATTTGAAATCCACATTGACGAGCACAAAAAAGTACTAATGGTGCAAGAAGACCACCAAAACTTTGACCAATACTACCAATCCAACCTAAATTCAAATTCATTTATTTGTTCATGTTTGTTTTCCTCTCTATTTCATTAAATTATATGAAAATAAACTACGTACTCATTTCTGTATCGGATAAAGTTGAATTTTGTTTTTTAAATTCAGCAATAACTGTTCCATAACTCCAAGAAAAACCAATAAATATAATTCGACTTATAACTGTTATCAAAACAATTAGAATACCATAATAATTTTGAAGTGAATCAAGATTCTAAATTTTTTAAATAAAACTTTTACATTATAATAGTTTATTATAAAAAATGCTGAACAAATATTCTCAATAGATAACAATGTTTCTTCATCATTAACAAATAATAATACTGTTAAACATCTGTCGTCTTTTTTTTTTGCTAATGAATTTATTCAGTCGTAAACTTTTTACGACCATCTATATGAAATTTTAAAAAATATATATATTTTCATGTTATTATCTAAATTTCTATGTATAGCATACATTTATAATACATATTCATAATAGAATACAGCTAATAATCATCATCAATCAATTTAATTCTATCAAATGATTCTGGTTATTTTTTTTTCCGTAATAAAAGAATTTTTGACTTATTTGCTAAAAAAAAATTCGGAATTAAGATACGCACCATTTTTTGTTTTATTATTGTGTTTTATATTTTAGTCGAGTAGTTTGTAATGATGCTTACGTCTGTTTAACCTGAGCACATAATAACAGTGACATGCAACAGAAGAAAAAACGTCTTCCGCATACTAACTATATTGCGCTAGTTGTTGTTCTCGCTTCTATCTCGCCGCCGGGAATGAATAAAAAGAAAGAGGAAAGATGCAGAAAAAAAAGACGGAGGCGGATCGCTATTCCTGCTTTATTCTTTACATTGTCAACATGAAAGAAAAAAGAATTATGTTCAGCATCATCAATTTGATAGATCGATTCGAAAAGAAACAAAAAATCCGATAAAGATGAACGTTTGGAAATGTTCATTAAACAAAACTAGTAGAAAAAAAAAGGACTTATAGAACAATTTTTTGCATCAGTAATTCTCTCTTTTTTTCTTATTTTTCGTACGCTTATTATTAATCGATATGTCGTTATTATTTACCCTTTGTTACTCTCGTATACTTTTTATGCACATCCGATAATCGATAGAAAAAGAAAAGAAAGCAATATGTGTCTATATGAATAAGGGATAAATTATTAATAAAAACATCTACAAGAAATTGTCTATTATTTTAATATAAAAACAAATCAATAAATATTTTATTGAACGATTATATAATATTTTTTTTTCAATTGGTCAATGATTAACTGAAGATCTATTCAATTGATAGCCATGTTAATTCAACAAGTTTTAGTAGTATAAGAAAATTTCTTTGACATTCTAACAATAAAAGGAAATACTGCACTAGTCAATAATTATACATAGTAAGTAATTTTAGGCAAAATTCATTAGTTTTATTGAATTATAAACGAAAGAATAATTATAGATGCATATTTACTAACATACAAGCAACTGTCAATCATATTCACACAAAGATAAACTAATTTTTAATGATTTTTCATTCTCAAAAATAGAACCCGACCATTCTTGATATATTGTACGATTTATATAAAATATTTTTATATTTAGAAATATAAATCTTCGAGTATTTTCCTAGGATCAGATCATAATTCTAATCGCGTTGAAAATGATAAATGAGTTCATTGATTTTTATTCAAGCATATATGCTAATTTTTTTTTTCTTCTTTATGACATTATTAATCTCGTTTTATTCTTTTGCAAGCAGATAAAACGAAATCAGTCAGTAATATAAATCTATTTTTTTATAGTGACAATAACATGAGATGATGACATGACATTTTTTCGTAAGGCAAAAAACAATACTATGTGTTCAAGGTTGACAAATATTTTTGTGGAAAATATAATTTCTATAGGACAAATTTCAATAATAATTACAGACTTTATTATTTTTATATTTCAAAAATACAAAGATTAAACTAGATATTTAAACATAGTTTCATTATTGATGAATGATGTTTGATATCACATTGTATATTTGCTGTCTGACAACGACATTTTATTGAACAAGTTATATACTTCCATAGAAGTAATTAGTTCTGCACTTACATACGCTTTGCAAGCTTGAATGAATTTCATTGTTGATAATATTGTTGAAATGACATCAAATAAGTCTCGAAATTTACAGTTGGATGAATTCAATAATGTTTATTTTTCCTATAAGAAAAACTGAAATTTTAATTTTTCTGCATTCTAATTTCTTCTATAAAATATACATATATAACTAAAGAGTAAATTAATATTAATAAAATACTTTCATATTATATTTTACAATTAATTAGTACGATAAAAACACAAGAAGGAATGAAATACAGAAATTGTTATCAATAACATCATACGAAAATTATAAAAAAAAAACAAAAATTTAAATTCAATAAAACCTTACATCCCTAATATGCATAATAACACATGTGAAAATAGCAGTTTTCATGACAATTTGCATCTTTTTTGACTGATTTGCAGTGAGTCACATGAAAATTGGTTTTTTGTAAAATTATTTTTATGTTCTATATAAACTCAATCTTCAAGCTAAAAAATTTATTAGAACTAACAGTCAGTCGAAAAAAAGCATTTCACAACCATTTTTAAATAATTTCTCTTTTTTGAAGTCATCACTCTTGCATTATGTTCTGATTCATATGATTTAAAAGGTAATTTGCTGAAAATCATAAAACATTTTACTATAAACTTGAGTTCTAATCTTGACAAATTCTTTTCCCTTGATCCTACACATATCTCAAATTTCGACATGATCCTGGAAATGAAAGATCTGATTTCAATCCGAAAATAGCCTCCATTGTAAGTGTGTAACCATATACCATCTCTGGAAATGACTCGTGTTTCAAACATATAATTCGTTATAAGTAGATTTCCTAGCATTATACAGGTAGAACAACAATATAACTATGAGAAAACACTAGAAAAAAAATTCAAATTATCATGTAAGACGAATGGATTATTTACAACCCATTCATCATGTCCACAGTGAAATGATTTCATCCAAATTTAACCATATTAGCATCTTAATCAACACTTGTATAAGTTATTTCCGTGATTTGATTAAACATCAACTCTACTGGATTAGTACCATGGGACTACAGGACTAACAAAACTAATATAAATACTGTAAATATTATTGAATCAAAGAAAAGATAATTTATTTAATGAAAAAAAAAAAAATCATAAATATTAATATCATGCGCAATAAAAAGTCAAGGTTTTTCAGAATATGTCTGCTGACATGCTTGTACATGATTTTCATATGCTTGATGAACAATCGGCTGTTGACATTTTGGACAAACTTTACAACATGCCATAATATGCCGAATATTTGGATTGTTATGACATTCACAACTGCAAACGTTTTCCATCTTGTAAATTGAATATTATCAACTTCAATAAATAATTGACGTATATCTGCGTAAAAACTATATAATAACCTTACAGGTGATTGCTGTTTAAATGAACCAATCCTAATGGTATGACGAAAAAAAACCAATAGAGAACCCCTGTAGCTGGCACTCCGTCATGAATACAAAATCACGATTGTAACATACACTTGCTAAAGAGAAAAGTTTACTTTTTTTCATTTTGATTGTATACTCTTACCTTCATGCAATATTGTAAACTCTAGAAAAGTATATTTTTCTCTTAAAATATACGCTTGTATTCACGGTGGAGTATTAATTATAGGAAAACGAAAAAAAAAACCAGGTATCATATACTATTTATTGTTAAACAAAAATACCGATATACATTAACCTTTAATGGAAAAAAAACAATTCTTATGAAAAGACAATAATAAGATATTGTTTAAGTTCAAATATAGAGAATAAAGGTAATCGTATATACACAGATACCATATAAATACTTTGATCACATATACATACAAAAAAAAACAAAAGAAAGAACAATTCTTTTACTTAAATAAGATCATAAATTTTTTTATCTTCATTATCAATTGTTGTTGGTGAATATGCAATAGCTGTTGAATAAAGTGGTGATGCTAATGGTGTAAAATCATCTATTGTTGAATTAACAATTGATATACTACTTGATGATAATGATTTTGATACAATTAATTCATATTCATTTGTTGATCTTTTATTTGTTGGTGTTTTATCAATTGAAACAGTTACTATAGGTCGATCAATTATTGTAAAACCATTTGATGGAGATTCTTGTTTACTAGAATTACAAAAAAAAAAAACAAATTTTAATTTTATTTTTTATTTAAAAAAATTCGATTAAATTTCAACATACCGAAATGTTGGTACAGATGGATAAATTATTTCATTTGTTTTCATATTAATTAATCCAAATGAAAAATGACGCCATATTGGTTTATTTTGACTTAATGGTTTAATCGATGATATAATATAATTATATTCTCTTGGTATACATTTTCGTATATAATAAAATTTTGAATTAATTATATGTGGTCTTGAAAGAATAATTTGATCTAAATTTAAGAACAAAAAAACAAAAAGATTTGATTATTATTATTATTATTTTTTTCTTGTTTGAAATTCCATACCAACACTATCATAATCAGCAAAACGTATAAATCCATAACCTGTTTGTTTAGAATTTTGTGAATATGAATTAATGACTCGACAATCAATTATATTTCCATAGGATTGAAAATAATTTAAAAACATTTCACGTTTTTCACCTGAACATAAACGACTAATAAATATTTCATTAACTGATAAATTTATTCCTAAATATTCTGATATATTATTTGTATTACGACATTGATTTGGTATTGCACGATGTATATGAATTTGTCTATTATCAATAAAATGTGGCCGTTTTAACATGAAATTATTTATAGAATTTATTTCTTTATAAATAATATAACCTTTACGTAATGATTGATCTTGATCATCTTTATATAAATATAATTCTTCTATAGAACCATATGTTGAAAAATAATTCATTAATGTTTGTTCAGTTGTTTTATATGATAAATTAGAAAATAAAAGTTTTTTATTGAAATTTGATGACATTATTTTAACAAAATAATAAAAAAACACAGACAATGATTTTTATATTTAACTAAAGATATAAACAAATGAATGGTTTAAATAACAAAAAGAAAAAAAAAAACAATGAATATTGAAAACAGATGGAATATTTTTACCTTTTTTTTTTCTCTCAAGTGAATTTAACTGATGCGATGCTGTATGAACAAACTGATACGAAATGTTTAATATATATGAATGAATAGACGCAATTAGAAAAGAAATATGAAAAAAGAATTTGTACAGTCTCGTCTAGCCAATATGCGTTTAAGTATTCTTTTTCTTTTATGATTATTTAGGCAGCGATTGTGTATATTCAAAGAATCAAAGGCGACGAATAAATTCAATAAAAGAATATGAAAACAAAAGAATCGGTATTAAAGAAAAAATAAGCATGAGCGACATACATTGTTAAATTACGTTTAGCTAAGATTTTTTTTTTAAATCATCTTAAATTAATGAAAATGAATATTTTGATTTTATATTTTCGAAGAAAATTTTTAGATTTCTTAACAAATATATATTTCTTTTTTCTCAGAGAATAAATGAATTGAGCATAATATTCATAGATAATAATGAAAATAATAGTTAAATTATATTGATTAGAATACTTTCAATAAATAGTATCTCTTTTACTGTTATTATTATTATAAACAAATGTTCATTATATCAGAAGTGAACAATCACTGTGTAGACAAATTATTAACAAAAAAAATTGTTTGATCAATCAATCAAGAGGAAAATAAAAGACATAACATCAACCAGCTTGGATATGTCTTTTAGTCTATCAATTGTTTTAAAAAGCAAAATAAAAAAAGAATCAAAAACTAATTTTCTAATCAATCGTCATCATACCAACCACAACTAGCAGTTGTCAAATAAGTATTTGCATTTCTATCCCATGAAATAAGAGCAATACCATGTTGCCATTTTTTTGTCCATTGAACAGATTGGGTATCATAATCAAAATATCCGACAGCACCACCATGAAAACATGTTTCCCATTCGACTTGTCTTCTTAAAGGATTATAGACACCACCAACTCCAGAATGAAATGCTGATTTCCATTCGATAATACCAGTTGATGGATTATAAACTCCATGTATACCACCATGAAAATATTTCTTCCATTCAATTATATTTAATTGAGGATTAAAAACTCCATAGACACCCGTTTGAAATGCTTGTTGCCATTCAATAATACCTGTTATAGGATTGAATACACCATGAATTCCACCATGCCAATATTTTCTCCATTCAGTACTACCAGTAATTGGATTATATACAACTGCAATTGATCCATTCCAATATGTACGCATTTCAACAGGACCTGCTTCAAGTGTTATTTCATTGAGAAGTTCAAAAACTTTTTTGGCTAAATCTTTTCGTTGTTGATAAATATGTTTTAGAGGTAATACAGATTGTGTTTTCTCTTCAGAAGCTTTATGAGTAAATACACGTTTTAATATATTAAAATTTTGATGATAAATTTCTTCTGCATTTTCATATTCGTGTTTAGCTTTATTTAAAGCATTTTGTACATCATTATTTAAATGTTGTAATGGTTCGATTAGTATTCCTTGATGTTCTCGTCTAGAAGTATGATGTTGTGAATATAATTTCTGATAGGTATCAAGTTGAATATTAGTAGTTGATTCTAATGACATTTTTTTTCTTGTAAATGTAGATTTAGAATGTCAAAATATTTATTTATTTCAAGGATAAAATGATTCATATATGAAGAAGTATATATTTCTATAGATGATTTAATGACAAAATTATACAGAGAAACAAAAAAAGGTGTACTCATAGCGATAAAACATAAAATAACGAAAACATTAGTATCAATAACATGAATCATACATACTTTTGTATTATTCATCAACAACCTCTTCTTTAATCAAAAAACGATTTTACATTACCTTCTAAATTAATAACACTTTTTCAAAGAATTTTGTAGAATTCGATATTGATTATACTTGACAAATATATAGCAATGATATGTATCATATTTTTAAATAACGCTAGATGTCTCATCTATCCTTGAAAAACAAAAATTCGACAGAAATGATGATTTATTTTAAAAAAAACCAGCGAATATTAAGAGAAATTCGAGAAGAAAATACGGATGAAGATAGTAAAATTGGTGATTGTGACCGTCATTAATGAATAATGCAAGATAATTTTTGTTATTCACTGCTAGAAACAAAAAATAAAATACAAAGAGTCGAAATTCATTAAAGTTGTGAAGTACAGCATTTCTGTAGTTGGTCGCCTACGCATTTGATCTTCATACTTTGCGTGTGTTTTGTTATATCAAAAGTGATGAGCTAGTCTCCAGGCAGCTGTTGTCGGGAAGAATGGTAATGAAACCTTCAACAGGATAAGATTGAATCTAGATGAAATTGTTCATCGTTCTTATGCTAATTTAAATCTCATTGCCGAAAGTTGAGATTTCTTCACATCACACTTATGTAGTTCTTTTGCGAGTTTTCTTTTGTTTTTATTTACTAAATATACACATCGAATGTGATCATTTTCTATCAAGAACGGAGAGTCAGAGAATAATACGCCAATAGACGATCTTGTACTGTCTCTATTCACACATCGCAGAAAGTAAAAGTTATTTTAACAGCTTGAGTTTGTAGGAAATTTTTTTCGTACAAAATTCTTATATTTGAAATCAGAATCAATTATATTTCTTAAGCTCTTTACTTTTGTTATGCTATAAATATCAAGAATAAAAAAAGCTTATTGCAGCCCCAGTAATAGAGTAGATATGTATCTCATCAAACAAGAATGTATCAAACGAAGCTGAGCATAGCTCATTGTTCTAAATTTCATCCTCTATGCGAAACATGTATTAATATAATACATTATATATCTATCGAGTTTGATAGATCAGTTGAAGAGACCTACAGTAGATCTATCATGTTTAGTTCCGACGTTAGCTTTAATTTAAGTAAGAATGAGTACTCGCATCAATGTTTCATATGACACGATATTAGATGATATCTTTTCTTGTAAGAATAATAATGAAAACAAGAAGAGTATAATGTTCTATTTTTCAAAATCGATCAACAAGATCTTCTTTTTTTTGTATTAAGAAAAAAAAAGAACACTAATTATATTTGACTAATTGAAATAATAAGTTAATTACACGAACCTTCGAGAAACTTTATCAATCATTCATTCATGATCATCGTAAATTATCAATTTTCTTTATTCAATCTGCTTTTTAACTGTATTGTCATCCTCTTTCTTTTTTCCTTATAAACAATTTGCAAAATGAGAATTTTTCATCCTGCATAGTGCTTTGTTTTTTTTTTGCCGAACAATAAGTGAGTTCATTTTGAACTGTTTTCTTCAGGATCAAGTCTGACTGATCAGTGGCTCATGACAAATCTTAAATAAACTTTTTCAACAACTATTTATTCATTCCTATTCAAGCAGACAAGAACCGTTTCGAAAACATGTCTTAAAGCCGTAATCGCGGTTCTCGTTTGAGTGTTTTCACATTCATTCATATAAAACTCAAACTAGCTAGTTTCATCATAAGTGATGCATTAAAATGTTTAAAAAGATGACTATTGCATCTGAAAAATGTCAAAAAAGTTTTCTCACAAATATTTTTGACATATACCATGCAAAATACAAGTCATTTTTATCTGCAATACACGTCAGAATATTGCGAAGAAAATGTTTACATGCTTTCCAGAAGCAAAATTTTCCTTTCTTAAGCATCTTAACGTACCGCTTATGATGAAAGTAGTTGATATTTTCGTGTTTTCTGTATGGACGTGGAAACGCTTAAACGAGAGCAGTGATTAGAGCATTTAAACGTGTTTTCAGAGATACTTGTCTGCTTAGATTTTTATCATAGGATAGAATATTGTCCGAAGAATTGATTAAAGAATTTTTGACTTAAAATTTTGTCTCTAAGTAGGTCTTATGACTGTAAGACTATCCAAAAAGTTTCAATGAAAACAATTAGAAAAATTAACAAGTTTTCAACATGGAATATTTCAAGAAGAAAGAAATTGTTTTGATTCAAAATTTTAGGATATTCTTAAGATCACAAGACTTACTTATAGACAAGATTTCTAATTGAAAATCCTTTCTTCAATTTTCCTGTCAGTATTCCATCTCATGCTGAAAATCTAACCAATTTCTCGTAATTCTGTAAAGATGACCTATGAGTTCGAATCCTTGTAGACTTTCTCTACTATAGAAATCCTCTCTGTATGGTGAAATTATGAGCTCTATTACTTCGAGCGATTTCTTCGTAAGTAAAACAATTGATTTCTGAATTCAAACATTAATTAATATTTATAATCATGTTAAGATAGAGTGATAATAAACCTAAAAGTAAAAGACTTCTTGAAATCTACTTTGTATAAGTTTCCTTAATATCAGATATGACTTTACTTTGAGTGAGATGACTGAGAAGTAGAGACCTACATCATACTCCGAGTTGAAGTCATCAAAACAAACTTTTTCGAAACTGGAACGAACAAAAACACACTAATTTATATATTTATAAGTTTCAAGAACAAAAAAAAAAATCATCAGAGAAGTATTCTCAACTAGATAGTATTCGAGCTTCGCTCGAATACGAAATTGCGGTGCGAAGCACGAATCAAGAATTTCGAATAAAACGGCATCTTATGCAAACGAATAATCGAGTTTACGATTCAATCGAAATCCGCTTCTCTCATGAGTTTATCTATGTTTGACTTCAATCACTGATTCTTTTTCTCTGCCTGTGAATTCAAGAATTCACATTTCGATCAAACAGCTGATCGAAATTTTGAAATAATTCCAAAGGAGCCATAGTAAAACTCATTACTGCGAAAACTCTACCTATGCGTAACAACACACTTTTACAAATCGCTGTTCATCGATCATTTAATTATCTAAATGACTCATTACCTACTATAAGCTGCATTTACACCTGTTTGACAAATAAGCTAAGAGAGTGGCGCCTATCTTTTGTTGTTTTAATTATCTCGAAATGAATAAAGCTTAAAGTCATGTTAAATTCGTCATTTTCGGGAGCTATTTCTGAGAAAACCGAAAGTGATTTCCAGATTAACTTCAAAGATTTTAGCGATTCGATCTCGATACTTGGACTTTGTGTTTGAAGGACATTTTTCAGAATTTTGATTCTCGAGTTCATCGCGACACAAAGCAACGAGTTAATGTTCGTTAAGATCTTTGTGACTTTTTTTTTCGTTCATTCGCAATATTTATCTCAAGAAAATCAATTTTTGACATACTCATGAATATTTTTATAAGAAAATAGCGTCCTCTTTTTTCTTGAATATAGAAATATAATTGTATATGACAGTGTTATTTGTTGTATAAAAAAACCAATCGTGTTCTTCATCTATTGGCTTGTAGAAACGAATCAACTAGAAGGAAATGAGATCATTTCTATTTCAACTTGGCCGGCAGATTGTAAATTTATTTAATTTCAAATAAATCTATTTCAGCACTTCTCTCTTTCTATACATATATTGTTTATTTTCATCGACGATTAGATTTAACAATTAGATGGCTGAATGGGGAAAAGGTGATCCACGTTGGATTGTAGAAGAACGTCCTGATGGTAAAAGGAACTACAATCTGAAAAAATAATTATTTGTTTTTATTTTTGTAGCTACAAATCCAAATAATTGGCATTGGAAAGAAAAGAATGCAACACAATGGTCAAAAGATAAATTAAATGAATTATTAGTAGGTCTTACAATTGAAAATGAACAATTTACTTGTGAAATAAAAGAATTAAAACGATGTGACGGTGAAGCATCAGCAAATAATCGAAAAGCTAAACTTGTTTTTCTTGTAAGTTAAATACAAAAAACAAATCCTTATCAGTTTATCTAACAAAAAAAAACAAATTATTTAGTATGAATGGCATATAGAAGGTAAATGGGAAGGATCAATTCGTACAGGTGAAAATCGAACTAAATATGAAGGTGGATTTGAAATTCCAAATTTATCTGATGAAAATGAAGTTCATGAACTTACAATAACATTTTCCGTTGAAAAATCTAAAGGTGAAAAATTAAAACAATTAATGATAAAACAAGGTGAACCAATAATAAGAGAAAAACTTGGTGAATATATTCGTTTACTTAAAGAAGAATTTTCACAAGGTCTTATTTTACCAACAAAAAATTCTTCAAATATAAATTATAGTAAAACAACAACATCATCATCATCATCATCATCAATGACAAATACAACAACAACAACAACAACAACACCATCAAAATCTTTGTCAAATACTACTCCATCATCAACTAAACAATCATCATATGATACACGAGATTTAACTATTGAAGATACATTTAAATGTTCTCGACCAGAATTATTTCAAACATTTACTGATATTAATATGGTACGAGCATTTACACAAAATAGTGTTTCAAAATATGATTGTCAACAAGATGGACAATTTTCATTATTTGGTGATAATATAACAGGAAATTTTCTTGATATAGTACCATATGATCGTATTGAAATGTTATGGCGTTTTAAATCATGGCCTAAAGAACATTATTCACATGTTACATTACAATTTCAAGATAATACAGATCAAACTAAATTAATTGTACAACAGAATGGTGTACCTACACAATTTTATGAGAATACAATGGTTAGTTTTGAAGAGATTTATTATTTATTCGAATTTGTTGTTTTTTTTTCTTTCTCTTCTTCTGCATGTTTTAGGAAGGATGGAAACGTTTTTATTTTGAAAGTATCAAAGCAACATTCGGTTATGGAGCTCGATTACTTTAAACGATTATAAACATAATCATTAATATAGATAAATCTTTTTCTTGTCAACATTTTTTTCTTCGTGCTGTCAATCCGTTTGAAATAAACTCGCCATATAAAATAATTTTTATTATCAATCCTCTACGAATTTTGATATTAGCCTTTTCTAGAATGTTCCATGACAAACGAATCGATGAAAACAAATACATTAAAAAATTCGATTTTCAAAAAAAGCGCATTTTCTCGTAGCCCTGAGTGTCTTCTTTCAGAATATGTATAAATTATATATGAATGGAACATATTCAATCCAGTTTTGGCGCTTATGCGAAAGCCATATACGAGAATAAATGGTTTGAATGATTTTTCGTTAATGATCGGGAACTACGTATTATCATTTCTTCGTATTTCTCAGCACTATAAAGTAATGTCCATATCAATTAATCATGCTCTGAACTTGTTTTGGTGATTGTACAAAGGTTTTACAGTTTCAAAACAGTGCAAATTCTGGAAAAGGTGGTACTAGAGTAAACTCGAATTCGGAAATTAGTTTTATTTTTTGTCGCAAATACTATAGAATGGAAGAACGTTTTGTACGCTTTCCAACGATATATAATATGTTGCAAATTTCTATATAGACACACTGCAAATCACTTCACAATGTTGTTATTCGTTTTTCTCAATTTCGCCTTTTAATCGTTTCTTGACCATTTCGGAACATTTTCCTGATTCATCTTTTAATATATATTGCTGATTTTCTATCTATTCGAAAGATCAAACATTGCTCTACAAATTGTTGGAACAGATTTCTAAAAGATGTATATGTTATTCAGATATATGAAAATCTTGGAAAGAACTCAAAACAGTTTTCGTGATTCTCAGTTTAAAATGACCACTACATTTCAATAAAAACGAATTTCAAAGAACTATTCCAATAATTTGTAGGTACAAGTTTTTCCTTCATTTTGAAATAAGTCTCCCCACTATCCGTGCTATAGGACACCGGGAAAATATTCCAAGGCAAAAGCCTTGTTTTTAGGACTACATTGGGTATAACTTCTCAATTACGATAAATGATTGGTTCAGATTTTTATCATGTGCTGCTAATATCTCTTTTTCTATTTTCTGAAATTTTCATCGACATCCGTTGCACCATTTTGAAGATAGGTTTCTGAGGGAGGGGGGGGGGATTCCTCTTAAACGATCGACTATCTTCCGATTGCCGGTAGTGCAAACAAACGCGAAACATGGTTATATACACAAAGAAATAATGACATAGACTATAGGGATTTTTTAGAAATGTTTTTTTTTTTGTTTCGATGATGATGATTGCAGGTCAAGTATAGTATAGAGACTGTCGCAGAGTATAACAGAACAGTTTGCCTTGCTAATGTTTGTCTCATTAAAAAAAATTCATTTGAGAAATGTTTTCTAAACGTAAACATGAATCTTTTAAAACATATATTATCAATATAACTGCAGTAGTTAGAAATGATCCTATGTTCGCAGTCAATTTCATTAGATCTACATGTATCCATATAAAAAAAAGGTCGAGAAATGAGAATAAAATTTTTAAAAATACATTAAAATGTTACTATCAAATACTATTTTAATATTTCAATCTCTTTTTTTTTGCGCATAATTTCTACTAATATGCCTTTACCTCGTTTAAGTTTTGAACAAAAAAAATTCGATCGAACATTTCTTTCATCATTAAATTTTGATGAAAGTGGTATTGAAATAAATCGTTTAACTTTAATATTTAATAAATTATGTACTACTAATAATAATCAATTAACACGTGAATATTTTCGTGATTTTCTTTCAACATTATTTGATCTTAATGATGAAACAATAGTTGAACGTTTATTTATATTAATTGGACAAGGTGAAAAAACTTTATCATTAAAACAATTTTTATATTCAATTAATTTATTATTATATGCATCATATGATGAACAAATTAAATTTATTTTTCGTATATATGATGTTAGTGCTGATGGAAATTTACAACGTGAAGAATTATTTACATTTTTACGTAAAGATTTACTTATAATTAATGAAAAAGAAGATGGTGATATGATTTTACATGAATTTATAACATTATTATTTAAAAAATTTGATAAAGATCATGATGGTGTTATTAGTTTTGATGATTATAAACGAACATGTCAAGAAAATTCAACATTAATGCAATGTTTTGGTCAAGTTTTACCACGTCTTTTTCGTAAACATATGGTTAAATCAATGCTTAATGGAAATATTTCAATTATATCGAAAAAAGAAAAATATTTAAATGAAAAATAAAAAATATATATTTATCATATTTTTAGCAAATTGATTAAGAAAATGCACAAAAGAAAAAAAAAACAGAAAACACACTATAGTAAATAGAATTTGTGTCAATCTTACTAAAACAAACAAAAATTTACTTAATTGATTTTGTTCATTAGTAAAATCACACAGCAGCTAGCTGCAATATCAAGATTGATACAGAACCAACACAAACGAAAGAAGATATAGATCATTGCAAATATAATGAGAAAAAAGACTAGAAACACAAAGAGAAAGAGAAAGAGAAAGAAAAAAAAGAAAAAGAAACAATATGATGGTATACAGAAGTTAAACAGAACAAAAACAAACAAACACTGGAAATATAAATTATTGAAAATAAAAATTTCGAAAACGTTACTAAGCAGCTTCAGCACACACACACTATTTATATAAAATTATAAGAAATAGATACGTCTACAGATGTCTATACAATGTTTCTAATGTAGTATGCTTAAGCTCTATTAATAGTATTTTCGATATTTTTTCTTTCGCTGTTTTTTTGCTTTCTTCCAAGTTTCTGCCATTCAACAAAAAAATTACTTGTTTTAAATGCATCACCGATATATTTACATTTAACATACAAAAGAATTTTTATGGGTTGATGGTAATGAATCATCTTCACTTGAGCTTGAATGTTGTTTAGCACAAGTTGATGAACCAAATGCTGAATTGTATAAACCTGAACAATTATTATTATTATTATCAATATATGGTGTTGGAGATTGTAGACTATTCATCAGTCGATCGAGACTACTTGAAGTCATTTGGATTGCTTGTTGTTCGGAATTTAAAATATAATTTGATTGATCATTATTATAAGCTGAATTTGTTAAAAGAGATGCTGGTTGAAGAAAATGATTAAAATCTTCTTCATCATTTTGAATATTTTGTATTTGATAAGAACGAAGTGGTGGTGGTGATGTTTCACCAATTGATGAAAGAAAATTTGTATCACCAAAAACCATTGATGGTTGTTGTGGTATTATTGTATTGATTTGTTTTAATTGACAATTTACAACATGATTTGAAAACATAGATTCAAGATGTTGTTTTTTTGTGTTTAATTGATCAATAGTTTTTAAAAAATTTGCATGATTATTTAATTCTTTATCATATTCATTTTGAAGATGAGTTAAAATATTTTCACGTTTTTCACGACATTTTGTTGCTGCAACACGATTACGGTCACGTCTTAAACGACGTTTTTCATCGTCATCATTTGATAATATTTCATATTTTGAACGACGACCTGTAAATAATGTTTTCGATGGTTGTTTACGAGGATTAACAGTTATTGGGCCGTATCTAATAAAAATTATATTTTTAACAATTAATTTATTAAAGATAATAATTTACCTGACACGACCCGTAGGTAACATTTCTATCGGTTGTTTTAAATTTATTCCTGTTGTATTCATGATATTCGCTTGTCCTTTTTCCTTTTTTCGTCCTTTTATTGACTTTGATCCACTATTTACATTAGTAGAATCTATCGTTGATGAAGTAGTTGATGATAAAACTACTTCTGATGATGAAGGTTCTCGTAAAAAATTAACTATAGAATCAACACTATCAAATGGAGAACCAAACTTTTTCATTGATGACATGATATTGTAATCAATGTTTGAAATCATCAGCTTTTAAATGAACTAAAAAGAAAAAAATAAAATAAAAAACAGAAATTACATCATCCAAAGAAAAACAAAAGTTTGCCTTAGAGACAAAAAATTATTTGTTAAATGTAATAAAAAAATATATCCAACGGATAAATAACAGAACGAAAAGAACTCATTTATATATCGCCCACGCAACCAATACAAAATGCTGATAGGTTAAGAAAAAAGTGTATGTGGAGGTGGAACGATAAAATTTTATTAATCACAGGTAAAGTATTCGAATAATTTGATAAATTGTTAAAGTGTCGCATTATAAAATCAATATTATTCTTTTCAACCTATTTATATTAGTTAATTTTTTTTTTCCCACTGAAAAAATCCTATCTATTGTCGACTGTATTTGATGAGTATGACTTTATATTATATTATGCACTCATTTCGTCATAAAATGTACATGTCAATAAAAGACAGAGTATAAAACATAATATCTGATCTTCAAAATAGATACAATAAGGAAAAAACCTTTTATTTTTCCTGACAATATTTATGACGTCATTATGATAATAAAAAAAACAAAGAAAAGCTTCTATCGGCAAAAAAACTTACCCAATGCGATCAAGTAATAATAAAGAAAGAATCGAACAAGTAGACTTGTTTAATGTTGTTTTAAAATGATGATAGTAAAAAATTATTTTCAAATCAAATAATAGTAAATAAATATAATCAAAAGGAAAAAGCTTGCGTTTCGTTGGTGAATATATGAAGCAAAAATATATTATGATACATGTATATATATATATACAAGCATGCAAGTCAATTATTAATGGAGGTTTTTTTTTCTGTCTTTTCTTGTTCTCTCCGTTGTTTTTTTTTCTCTTCATAGATGCACATACACGTAGGAAAAAAAAGAGCGAGCGCAGGAGGTTCGTTGCTTGTTTAATGGACAACAACGCAGAAAGCCAACGTTATTATCATTTACCTTAATCTATTTTTATTGTGTTAGAAAATATTACATAGTAAATGTTTAGAGATATGAATTTATTTTTAAGCTTTTAATAGGAAGTATTGAAGGTGAATATATATTTAAACTGTAAATCATAAATCAAACATTAAATGAAAAGCAAAAATATCATATTATTGAAGACAAACACAAAACGAATATTTATACATTTCGAACAAAAAAAAAAAAAACTAGTAGTAGCAGTTTAGTTTTTAACGTCTTGATTTAATGTTTTTTATCATATGTTCCTTCTCCTTTATAATTTCCAACATAACCCGTAGTTTTAGTTTCATCAATACGACCTTCTTTTCCTTTTCCATGACCTTCAGCATCAAAACGTTCTTTATGTGAACCTGTATAATGACTTGTATCCGTCATACGTTCCGTTATATTCTTATTTGCCGTACCCTAATGAATTATAGTATTAAGAAATTAAATAAATATTTTCATATATATTTAAAATTTTACCGTAACATTTGCTAAACTTGGACCACTAATTGAACTAATTTGTGAAACAAGTTGATCAGTCGATGTTTTTTTTGATTCAGCTATCTGATCAATCAACTGTTTAAAACCTTGAAATTCAAATGTTTTACTAGAAAAATATATTTATATATAGATTAACCAAAAAAACAAGAAAAGAAACTAGTTTATTAACAATTGAACTTACATGCCTTTTGTATAAGTTCCAGAAGTTGTAAGTTTACCAAGAACACGAGCAATATCATTATCAAGTAATTGTGTTGCATATTTCGAATCAACAATACCAGCATCTTTCATCATTTTTTGAATATTTTTTGAGTCAATTCGAATATCTTTTTCTTTAAGTTGTGCTTCTGTTTTACCAAATTTGGAATATTTATCAAAAGCTTCTTTTAAACCACCATTACCACCTGATGCCATGTCGTTTGTTCTATTTTAATCAAATAAATTCTATCTAAAATAAAATGACACTTTGTCGACACACTATACTATTCTCTCGTTTATATAATTTCTATTATGAGAAGAAAACCTTCAAGTAACATCGATTATTTAACATTATTTCCATTTTGCGAGAGTGAATGATGAAGGCGACGTTGTCTAGGCGATTACAGAAAAAGAGCCAATCGACGACAAAGAAAGAATATTCGCTTACATTCTCGTTCTCTACTTGCACGATCAGCTTATGCATCAGGCATTTACAAGTGATTTACTTTTTACTCTATAACACACTAAAATATAGAGTTCTATATCATAAAGAGGCTAAAAAAAGAAGTGCAAAAGTCAACAAAATTCATCGCCCACATTGAAAGTTTAGAAACAAAAAAAAAAGGTATATCATCTTTACCTATTTTTTTCTTCGTTGATGATATTTTACAACACGAATAAAATAACAAGGATGACAAAAAAAATACAATATAATAAAATAAAATAGTTTTTTCATGTGCGTTTTTTTTTTTGTCTTGTTACTATAGTGAATAAAAAGAATAATGATGTAATTTATTTTCTTTTTTTAACTCAGAAATTCCTTGAAAAGATTTTCGAACAGGCATTCATTATAATCAATGTTTATTTTCAATTTATATGAATTGATTCATAAAAAAGAAAAGAACATAAAATTTTCTTACTTAAACAAGTCATATCGGACAAGAACAAAAAAAAAAGTAATATATACTTCTTTCATAAGAAATATAAAGAAATTTTGAGTTAAAAAAAAAAAAAAGAAAACTTTGAAAGTACTGAGCAAAGGTCAAAAAGATGCTTAACATGTAAAACATGATTGATTTTCATAGTCAATGCATTCTATACCAATATTTAATAGATGAATTATGATGACAATGTTTCTAAAAATAAATTAAACACAGTAATTTTTTTAAACAATCCCATTTTAAAGAGAACAAAATAAGGGGATAATTGCATTTTCTACGACCTTCCCTTAAAAAGTTAAAAGTATTGCAAATGGCATTTTTTAGTCAATTTTTTTATACTTTTTAACTTTTTAAGAGAAGGTCGTAGAAAATGCAGTCACCCCTCAATTTGTTCTTTTTAAAATGACATTATTAAAAGAAAATTATCTTCTTGAATCTGAAAATTACCGTATCCGATTTTTGTTTTTAGAAACCTCGCTATCATAGTTCATCTATGAAATCTTAATATAGTATGCATTAGATAGAAATCTACAGTTCTCTGACTATACATTTTTTTGAGTAGTGAATATACTTTTAAAAAAAAACAACAAATGAGTAATCGTATTACATTCTGCTGCTTTGATGTAAGAAGAGTACAGATTGTTTGTCTGTTTTTTTTTTTCAAAATTTGATATGATTTAAATTATTCTGTTGTGCATGATTGTCAGATTATATTTCTCATATTATCAGCAAAACTCTTGTATAATGAGATTATATTTCATCGATAATATCAAGAAACTTGATTTAAAAACACGAAAACTTTTATTGAGATGCTGAGAAAATTTTTTATCAATTTGTCGTATCTTATATACAATCTATTGATTACAATTTTCATAGAGTATTTTTCGTTATGCATGACAATTTTTTTTCCAATAAGAAGCAAAGGCCTTCACATAATGATTCATTGAAAGTCATGACTTTAGTATAATCATTATAACATGTCCACAGTAATAGATAAATAGTTTTTTTTTTCTTTTCTCGATAATATCAGACAAGACATTAAAATTAAAGATGAAAAGACAAGTATCACATGTCATTATGAAATAATGTACTCATAAGGCTATAAATATTGAAGTAAATGTGTAGAAAACTAATTAACTCAACTCATTAATTGATTTCAAAGATATGTATTTCCATTGACACTATCAAATTTGAAATTAATCAATTGTCATTCTCATCTATCAATTTTCTATTTCGAATGCTTTTAAATAATCATATAATACCAATACAGAAATTTCTTGATTTATCGAAATATACAAAGTTAAAAGATTTATATTATTTTTTAATACAATATCGAAAGGCCGCAAAATTCAAACATTACACCAACCATGTGTGTTTTTTTCTAACAAACTACTTTAGTTAATTCCATTTGTTGAAATTTCTACGAAATCTTTACACGACTCAGGCTATTTTTTTGACATTTGAACTAACTTCTTTTCTTTTTTTTAATGTGATTATTCTTTCTTTTATCTACAATTTATTGCTTATCAACAATCATTTTTATTGTACACGTTTTATATGAGTATTTCGTCGCCTTTATCAGTATAATATTTATTCTTTGCACATATTTATAACTAATACTCGGTCGATTTGTGCTATACCTATCGAGAAAAATATTTTAAAACTCTGACTAAAACATTTGATTAGTGTCTATTAAAGGAATAGTTGCTACTAAAGGTTGAAAGGACATCATGAAAACAAAGTAATTTACACATTCGATATCAACATAAATCAAAACGATTGCATTGACATTAACATGGTATAGTAAACTCAATCGTATTATTAGATGAAAAAGAACTCCTATACTTTGCTGAATTTTCTGATAGCTTTTGGTATTTTGGGAAATGGACTTCTGATTTTCTCTTAATCGATAACTCAATTTTTTCTTTCTATATTATTAATGTGATCTCATTGTATGCTAGTAACATGTCCCTTCAGGATCATCAATATCAGAGAGTTAATGAAGAGTAAAAAAGAAATTTCCTGATTTCCTAAATACAAGTAATGTTTCACTGAATTTCTTTAGAAAAATCTAATGAAAGTAAATATAAGAGAAGATAATCAAAAACATATACTGAAATATATCAGTTTAACATTTATATAAAAATAAGATTTACCAGATTGTACCTAAAAGTGTAGGAAGAAAAGATAACAATATATCGTATTCATTATCTATCTAAAAGAACAGAATAGAAGAAGTTACATGGTTAATTAACATATTGACATTTCAATATAAATTATATTTATATATTGCTCATTATTCTTTAGTAAATTAATGAGTTTAACTTGATAATTGTATACTACCTTTTGGCGACACCTTTATTTTGTGTGAATGGCAAAGTTAAAATAGCCAATGAATAGTAAATAAAGACAAAAATAAAATAAAAAAATAAAATAAAATAAAATAAATAAATAAATTCGTTTGTATTGATACATTAGTCTTATATTTAAATTTCAAGATCAAATTCTTTTGATTATTTTCTTTTTTATTCATTAATTATTTACTTCTTGTCATGCAATAAATTATCACTTTCTGTAACAAGGAACAATGACTTTCAGATAGAAATAATCTTTTTGAATCCATTAGCAAATAAACAGGCATCGAAAAATCAAAAAAAAAGAAAAATCTTTTTATTTTCTTACAGGTAAAAGCTACTCATTAAAAAAAAACAAGTATTTATGAATCGAGAAAGAATTCTACTATTTGACTTATAGTAATTTTATAAGAAGTAATCATCCAGTAAATTTATTTTAATTTAATGACGAAAAGAAATTTCTAAGCTAAAATATTTATTTCATATTCCTTCATGAAAAGACTTTATTACATACTCAGAAAATATAATCATTGAAAAAAAATTCATTCAAGTATAAAAATTAAAACAATTTGACATTTAGAAGTAAATTGAAAAAAATCATGCTACTAATTATACTAAAATATGAGTAAATGAAATAAATATTTTATTACAAAAAAAAAAAGAAATTCTTGTTTCATTTTTAATGTTTAAATAATTTCATGACTATATTATTATTATTATTATTATTAATAGAAATGTTTCTCTATCGTCTATTTTCCGTTTTTCATTCCTTTCAACCACCCACACTCTTCTATTGAAAGCCTTTTTTTTTCTCCTTTTTTTTTTTTATTCCGTCTTCTATTATGATTATCAAGTCTTTGCATTCATATTGTATAGTGCAACATTAAGGTCTTTCGACTGCGAACCAGTTAGTAGAATAGAACACAGAGTGACATGGAAGTTTTCTTCTTTTTTTTTTTTACATCTATATATTCTTTTCTTTTTCTCTTTTTCGCGTCATCGCTTTTCCTACTTGCAAACAATAACTCTGCTTTGCCGGTTCGACAATATACAAAAGAGAGATGTGCGTTCTGTCTCTCTTCTTTCTCGTTTCCTGAACAACGTAACAATCTTTTAGTGAAAATGCAAACGATAGGAGCCAACATATACGTGACATGCTTCCATTCTTTGGTAGACTATTTTTCATATTTATCTCACTTTTGCGGTATAAGGTTGAATGTAAATTTGCCGATATACTAACGAATGTGACACATTTATATAGAAATTAAGTTCTTTTTTTCTTTCTATCTGTGTTTTTTATTATTCTTATAGATAAAAAAAACAAAAAAAAAAAGAAGAGGAAGTAATTGGATAGTCTGATCTAATTTGAATGCGTGTGTGTGTGTGTGTGCTATTTCAACTAATGTAAGTCTTTCGATTTTCTTCGTTTTTTTTATTAGTTAATAGGCAAAAAAAACATTGATCATATGTTAGTTAGATTAATACTATGATTAGACACAAGACTGGTAATCATCTGTTAGTTATTATGGTTTAAGAAAAAAAAAAAAAACGTGGACTAAAATAAGGAATTACTTGTCGATATATTTTATTGTTGATACTTTTATTTTCTTTGCATTCATTACATGTGATAAAATTTATAGCAAATAAAAAGTTTATTAATATACAAAACAAGCAGAAAAGAAAATCAGACGATTATAGAGGTGAAAATTATATTATTGTTAGTGTTATATGAGATGACAGTAAGTGTACATAAGACCATATGTTTTTTTTCTCCTAGTTCTAATGCTAATATACTACTTAAACATCTGTTTGTTTACATGTTTCGTGTAGTCAAATAGCAGAAACATATTGCAAACGATAAGAATAACAAATAGTAACTTCATATAGGAAGGAAACATGAGTCGAGTAGTAGCTATGTTCAGTGAGAGTTGTTCCTTCGCTTATTCTATATCTTTTTTTTTTTGATCTTCTTCGTTTCTCGGTTTTTTTTTCATAGGCATTTTGCATTCTGTTTTTTTCCTGTCTCGCTCTCTCTCTTGATCGTGATCGTTTTTTGTGTGTTTTTGAAGAGAAAGAGAGTAATGATGAATGAAAGCAAGAATACAAAGCGAGACAATGCAAAACCATGATTGGAAGAGAATCTCAATAAAAATATTGACACAAAGATATATAGGAAGTAAGATAGTAAAATGTTGACGACACCGTTTCAATAGTATATTTAGTCTTGATCGAACATATGGCAATTTAAAGGATATTATCCAAACTAATGATGTACTTTTAAAAAAGTACGAGAGAATGCAAGAGAGCAAAAGTATTGAAGAGCTAATAGAAAAAAAATGTATATATTATTGAAGTCACGTTCCGCCTCCAACACTTCATCATTTATCGTAAAACCTCTTTAATGTTGACTAGTTGCCCATGGTCGATTGTCATCGCTAAAGGTTCTTTTCTTTTTTTCGCTTTTGATTAGTTGATGTTGTCATTCACTAGAACAACATGCATGAGTTTTTTTTTTTTGTATGTCTATATGTTCTCATCATTCAGAAGAACAAGAGAAAAAGAAGAAAAAAAATGGAAACAGAAGAAGAAGAAAAAAAAATGAAGACGACGAAGAAAGTTCAACACAATAATGTCTCCTTTCTTGTTTTTTTTTTTTATACATCATGATAACGAATTATTCTTTATCTATGTATATTTTAGATGAGTTGGTTGGTTTTTCATAATCGTTATTATCGTCGTCGTCGACGTTGTTTTATTTTATCTTCGTAAATTTATCGTTGTTTATTCACAAAAATATTTTTCAAAATGACTTCTACATTGGATTCGTTAGAACAATCAAATCATATTGATGATCATGATAAAAATATAATACCAACATCCGATATTGTCATCTCAGAAGAAAAAATTGAAGAACCAATAACAAATTCTGAATCAGAACAAACTGATATAACAACTGATAATACAATTGATGAAATATCAGAAACAAATAAAATACCATCAACAAATATGATCACAGCAGAAGCTTCATTTACAGAAGCAACATCAGCTGATTTACCATTAGGAACATCACGTTCATCTGTAGCTCGAATACTTGTTAAACCTGGACAAATTTTTCGTGTTCAAGTTGATAATGAAGTCAAAGAAGTACATGGTAAGTAGATTTTTTTTTTTGTATTAATTAAATAAAAAAAAAAAGAAAAGCAAAGACATTATTGATCAGGATATTAATGTTGTTATTATTCTATTATGTTATTTATTTAATCAAACATAACATAGAAAACATAATAATTTTTGTGTTTAAGAAAAAGAAATCCTAGAAAAAGACTTTACATTGTTAAACTAAATATTTTATTCATACCTTATCATATAATTTGTACGTCATATCGAATTAAATCTATCATTAATAAATAAAATTCAATTGAAAATATATAATGTCAAATACTACTCAATATATATTTCTTATTCATTGATCAATGAAATATATTTATTGCTGTTAAGCCATCATTTTCTATTTACTATTCATGTGTAGCTCGTGCCTGAAGTCGAGGATGTTTAGGCGTATCTAACGTGACAAATGACAAGGCCTTTTCTACAATTAGTAATAGATAATGCCTTTGTGATGGATTCTTCTTTCTCTCTCTCTCTGTCTTATTCTTCATCAATATCTGAGTTTTTTTGCCATTGATAAAGGACAAATCTTTATATACACATACTCATATATATATATCTGATAGTCAGCTGTATGAAATACATGTATGCGTATGCATTGTTCATGTTCTGTTTCTTTCTCTTTTCTATATTGTTCTAGTATAGAGAAGAATCTTTCGCGAAAACAAACATCGCCATTAGTTGGTAGTAGTTCAACTATTGTATGTTCGTTTGTGTTTATTTTCATGCGCCGCACGCCACTAAATAAATGGGAAGTTTGAGAGAAAAGAACAAGAAGAAAAAGTATGCTACTGGAGGCGAACGAGCGCGAGCGAACAGGGTAGTGCCAGCAATGAGTGTTCCGTTATTTTTTTTTTTGTTGTGCACGTATATATATATATATATATGTGTGTGTTCGTTGTCGCTCGTTCTTCAGTTATTCTAATTGTATGGACAGCGAAAAGGAGAAGAAAAGAAGAGGAAAAAGAAAAAAAGAACGACGAACTAGAGTACACACATACATACTACAGCATTACACATTGGACAACTACGACCTATGGCCGAGATGCATGCGTGCAGAGAATATCATCCTGTCAAAAGATAGTCACTATGATTGGTTGATTGTCAACAAAAAAAAACAACAACAATAATAATAATAATAATCATTTTATTTTATTTTCATTTTCTATTGTTTCATTCTTAAAATATTATTTCATAAATTATGTATGATACGGGATGTTTTTCAACAAATGGATTCTATCCAACAACATCATCTTGTTCATCAAATACTTCTTCACCCGATTCTTTAAAACATCAGCGTTTACTTGTTACTGCAACACCTTCACCACCGAATATATCTCATCAATATTTTCAACAACAACAACAACAACAACAGTATCTTTTTGATAATCATCGTTTTCGTTTTAATCCAAATAACAATAATAATAATAATAATAATAATAGTAATTTGAATGTTAGTAATGAAATACATTCATCATCATCATCATCGTCAATAACGTCCAGTCATGATCAGTTACATCTATGGCTTGCTGCTCAATCATCAGGGCAGCAACCACAGCAATCGAGTAGGTTTTCAAATGACCTTTTACACTTTTGATTATATGTAATTTCTTCTTCATATACTTTAAAATTGTCTCATTTTAATGCCGACATTGTGAAAGCGAAGGAAAAAGAAAGAAGAAGTTTTCTCTTTATGGTTTGTTTTTTTTGTTCTCTAAATCGAACATAGAAAGTTCAATTATTCTACTAGTCTTTCTTTCTCGTTCTCTTATATGTATATGCAAATGTATGTATGTGTGTGATTCATCATCATAATATTGTAGCCTCCGAAGAGGAAAGCGAATGAAGGAGAAAGGCGTGATTATGATTGATGTGGATTGCGCGTGGCTGCCGTCTATGATTTGACCACAAGAGATGTAGAAATATCAACAATAATTTTCTTTTACATAGAAGAAAAAGAATAATGTGAGACGACTCATCGTTCTATTACTAATCGATCTATTGAAGAATAACAGTACCTAGATAAAGATTATCTTCAATATATAATTGTTGTTACGTCTTCTATCTGACCAGTTACGACAGACAGCTGGTATTTTTTCTTCTTCTTCTTCTCCTTCTTTCTTTACTTATCTTTCAATAGATATATATCGACGACCTCTTTTGGTCGTGATCTGTACCTTGAATAAAACACGAGAGAGAGAGAGAGAGACAGGGAAAGAGAGAAATTGGACAATTCTATCTCTGTTGTTTGTAGAATTTCTATAGTCATGTGTCATATCTATGACAATGAAGATACAACAGGTCGATTAGATATTTTATGTTAAGGATAGTATTGATTCGTTTGTAATATAAACGAAAGAATGTGCATCATATATATATATATATATATATATTTGTATGACATTCATTTATTATTGTTTTCTTATTTAGGTCCTGCAACAGTGAGAATGATCTCAGAGAACGGACCAGCTTTTCCATTACCTTTACATTTACCACCTGGACATATGGTTCAACAAGTTCTTGACGAGAATGGTGTATTGACACATGTTATTATGTCACAACCAGCACCACCGCCTCCACCGCCACCACCTCATCATCATGTGGTAAGATAAAAATTTATTGACATTTTTGTTTTTAATTATTTTTGTTTTCAAGCATACCGGTTATTCTCCATCACCATACAATGGACTTTATGGTCATCCACATCAATATCATAATCCAAATGTATATGGACCTTATACAGGAGATACATTAACATATTCTCAACGTTCTGCTTGTAATCATACATCATCACCAACAAATCGTAGGAAATTAAAAAAAAGCAAATAAAAAGTGATTGTTCATTGTTTTTTGTTTCAGCTTCACAATGTCTATTACATCAATCTGAAAGTAATAGTTCATCAACGACGACAACAGGAGGAGGTGGTAATACATCTATAATAACAACAACAACTCCAAATAATCAACAACGTCGTTCACCTGTATATAATACAAATGCGAATAGTTGTACAACAACAACAACAGGAGGAACATCTCATACACGAACGTTAAATATTAGTGGACAAAAACGACGTATACCACCATCTAATACAAATACGAATTCATATGTAAATAATGTTAGCATGAGTAAGTTAACTTAAATTTTATTTTTTATGAATTAAATTTATTATTATTATTATTTTATTTTTTGTTTTGAAGAAAAAATCTTAAATAATTTAGATAGTTCTGATAAATCCCATCATCATCATCATCATCATCATCATCATCCACCATTACAGACACATTATTCACCATTTTATTCAGAAATGGTTGTTCAATCAACAACAACTGAACCTGTTGATTTAGTTGCTGTAGCAGAATATGATAAAGAACGACAAACAATTGAAAAATATTTATCGAAATTATCTCCACCAATTGTAAGAAAATATTTTTTGTTCTTTTTTGTTTGAAAATTTTCAAAACCTTTATGTTTGTAAACTTTTATTTAAGATTCAAGATATTGAAAGTCGAAGTGCATTAGTAAGAATTCAACCTCCAAATTTAACATCACCTCCATCAGATTGTTCGATCGATTTTACTAATCTTATTTATGAATTATTATTGTCAGATAAAGGCAAAGATGCCAAATATAAACAAGTTTATTGGTATGTTTAATAGAATTTTTTGTTTTTGTTGTAATACATCATCTTGTCTATAAGTAGAATAAAAAAAGACATTTACTCAACAAAACAGAAAGAACATATTTATCGTTGATATTTGCTATGAAGATAAATAAGACATATGACAAATTGCAAAAATACGAAAAATTCTCATTCTAATCTAAACCTCATGGTGGATGTCTGACATGGGTCAAAGTTTTGTAACTTGCTCTAACCCGACTCGACCCGACCCGGATATTGCCATATGACTAATTTACATACGATAATGTCATCCTGTTTAGCAAAACGAAAAATCGTTAGCATAAACTAAGTGGATCTCAATGAGATATTAAAAAAGGATAAAGCTTTCTCTATAGAGGTATAGCGGTTTTACTGAAATTTTAGCCTACGGGACAGTATATACAAAAGAATCAAATGACGATATTTTTTTGACCTGAAACGTTGTAGGGAAAGCCTTATCATTTGGGAAACTTTTTATTATCTCATTGAGCTCTACCTTACGTGCAGAATTCGCAGTCAAAAGAAATTTTCGAGTTAGAAAGGTTTTCTCGTTAGGAAAACATGACGATTTTTTTTGATATATTCTAATTTTAAAAAAATTTTCTTTAGTGGTGATGCCAATGAAATAACTTTAAAAGATCTGAAACCAGCTACTGAATATCATCTAAAGTAAAAAGTTCTTTCTTTTTTTGTTTTTGTTTTTATACATATTTAATTCTAAATTTTCAGAGTATGTGCATGTATTGATTCATGTAAAGGTGAATATACAAATCCAGTTCCATTTACTACTGAACAATGTGAACCTGATAGACCTTTACCACCAAAATTACTTGGTAGTCGACTAAAAAATTCTTTAACATTAAAATGGACAGCTACAAATGATAATGGATCAAAAATTTCGAATTATATTCTTGAATATGATGAAGTTTGTATTCATATTCTTATTTTACTGTAGTTATTAAAAGTTTTACTATCAAATAAAAAAATATCTATATGTAAATCTTTTGTTCTCGTACTTTGAGACTACAAATAGAAGCACGATGAATTATAATTACAAGTAGCGGTAGAAGATATGTTAGCAATAAAGACATGTGAATGTTCTAAAGAAAAAAAAATCAGTATTTTAATTCTAAATCCTATGCATTAAGACCAATTGACCTTCGAGTTGATGCTTGTAGTGTAAGCTGATGCGGCGGCGGCGGCTGTGGTTGAAATTTTGAAAATAAAAGCGAAAGAAAACGATGATAGAGAATTTATTGGCAAGAATCTAGACGATAAATTCTCTAAAAAATTGATTTTAGAATGTCTGAAATTTTAAAAATGAAGCTTAAA